CTCGAAGCGACACAATTTACTCGAGATTGGATTTCAACTTCACAACGAAGGATATCCAACTCAAAGAAACATACAATACTTGGATTTCAACTTCACGATGAAGGATATTCAAGTCAAGGCTCGACTTTTCAAAGAAGGGTCCATCCACGATTTCAACTTCACGACGAAGGATATCGTGCCAACTCTAGATTGGATTTAAACTTCACGATGAAGGATATCCAATTCAAAGCTCAACTTCACGGAGAAGGGGCTTCCCAGTTTCATTCAGAGCCAATTTTAACTTCACGGAAAAAGATATTGGACTCGAAACAATACAAGCTTGGATTTCAACTTCACGACGAAGGATATTCAAGTTAAGGCTCAACTTCACAATGAATGGGCCATCAACGATTTCAACTTCACGACGAAGGATATCGTGCCAACTTTAGATGGATTTCAACTTCACGACAAAGGATATCCAATTCAAAGCTCAAATTCACGGCGAAGGGGCTTCCCAGTTTCATTCAGAGCTAATTTCAACTTCACGGCGAAGGTTATTGGACTCAAAACAATACAAGCTTGATTTCAACTTCACGACGAAGGATATTCAAGTCAAGGCTCAACTTCACAACGAAGGGGCCATCTACGATTTCAACTTCACGACGAAGGATATCTAATTCAAAGCTCAACTTCACGATGAAGGATATCCAATTCAAAGCTCAACTTCTTGAAGAAGGGGTTTCCCATTTTCATTCAGAGCCAATTTCAACTTCACGGCGAAGGATATTAGACTCGAAACAATACAAGCTTGGATTTTAACTTCACGATGAAGGATATCCAATTCAAGGCTCAACTTTATAATGAAAGGGTCCGCCACGATTTCAACTTCATGACGAATGATATTGTGCCCACAAGCAGCAATGTCATCCACGATTTCAACTTCACGATGAAGGATATAGTGTTTATTTGTAACATAGCTCAAGGAAATAAGGGTTATTTTCTAACAAAAGACCTTCGAGTTCGACTACGCTCAGCTCCAAGACACATCATTTGTAGAATAACTCAAGGCTAGAAGGGTTATTTGCCAATAAAAGACCTTCGAGTTCGACTACGCTCAGCTCAAAAGTGCATCATTTGCAGCACAACTTAAGTCGAGAAGGGCTATCTACCAACCAAAGACCTTGGAGTTTGACTACGCTTAGCTCCAAGGCACATCATTTGCAGCATAACTCAAGGATAGAAGAGTTATCTGCCAACAAAAGACCTTCGAGTTTGACTATGCTCAGCTCCAAGGCACATCATTTGTAGCATAACTTAAGGCTAGAAGGGTTATCTGCCAACAAAAGACCTTCGAGTTCGACTACGCTTAGCTCAAAGACATATCATTTGGAGTATAACAAAAGTCAAGAAGGGCTATCTGCCAACCAAAGACCTTCGAGTTCGACTACGCTCAGCTCCAAGGCACATCATTTGCAGCATAACTCAAGGCTAGAAGGGTTATCTGCCAACAAAAGACCTTCAAGTTCGATTACACTCATCTCAAAGACACATCATTTGCAGCATAGCTTAAGTCGAGAAGGGCTATCTGCCAACCAAAGACCTTCGAGTTCGATTATACTCAGCTCAAAAGAACATCATTTGCAGCATAGCTTAAGTCGAGAAGGGTTATCTTCCAACCAAAGACCTTCGAGTTCGATTACACTCAGCTCAAAGGCACATAATTTACAGCATAACTCAAGGCTAGAAGGGTTATCTGTCATCAAAGACCTTCGAGTTCGATTACATTTAACTCAGAGGCAAATCAAATTTAAAGCATAGCTCAAGGAAAGAAGGGATATCTGTCAGCAAAATTATCGAGTTCGATTTCATTCAGCTCGATGACACATCAATCACTATTGCCCGATTGTAGTCGAGGTTTTCAAGTCGAGAAGAAGGCATGGGTTAGCCGTACCTTAACGACAATGAATCGTTTTCCGATAGCATAGCTTAAGTCGAGAACAACTATATATCAATGAAGACTTTTCGAGTTCGATTTCATTCAGCTTGAAGGTCTATCAACCACATGGTGGAATCAAGGAACTATTTTCCAGTCGAACTTTTAAACTGAGGTCTTTAATCCGAGAAGAAGACAGAAGTGATTACAATTTGGCAACGAGAAGCCACATTCCGATTCAAATTCTGAATTACGGCTTCAATTCCATATCATTTCAAGATGAACTCGACTTCGCAACGGAGGAGTCATCCGCAACTCAATTTGACAGGGAGTTATTCTTTCAGAGTCAATTTTTAAACTCCACCGAACGAAAATTTGTGTCTTTTTATCTTTGTCATACTTTTCGTTCCACGAAAAAATGACAAAGAGAGGTAGTTGTAGACACTCATTTTCTTCCATATTTTTTATTTTTATATATACATATCTACCTACCTACCTACCGACCTACCTACCTACCTTATAGTTTGCAAACGGTTTTTGAAAATTTATATAATATATAATTTTAAAAACATTTTGAAAATGTATATAATATATAGTTTTTAAAACACTTTTGAAAACTATATAATATATAGTTTTTAAAACATTTTAGAAAATATATATAATATATAGTTTTTAAAATCATTTTGAAAATATTTATATATTATATAGTTTTTAAAACATTTTTGAAAAAATATATATTATATAGTTTTTTAAAACGTTTTTGAAATACGTATAATATATAGTTTTTAAAAAATAAATTTTGAAACTATATATTATATGGTTTTTTAAAATATTTATTTTATTTATTATTATTATTTTATTTTTTAACTTTATTTTATTTTATTTTTAGGGTCCAATGGGTCCAGTGGGTTTTGGGGCCTGATCTAACCCAGTCCACTAGGTTTTCAAAACCATAACATATCAAGTCAGTCAAACGGCGCCGCACAAGAGAGCCAAACGGTCAGAGGGAGAAATGGACGGCAGAAGATCCCGGGACTGACCCATCCCGGGATGACCGGTCCACCACGAATAGAACAACGTTAGGCCCGAAGTATACGGGAATGACCCCGTTATCATCGGAAACAGCCCCCGTGAGGGGCTGTATAAATACAAAGGGAACACAAGTAAACGGGGCATCAACAGTATACAACCACGGTACCAACAGAGAACAACCCATACGACAGCGAACCAAAAAACAACAACCATCATCATCGAGCCACATAAAACCAGTCCACAAAAAAAAACCACAACATCGAGCCTAGAAGCATCAAACCAGTACAACACAAACAAAATCGAAACCCAAATACAACAACACAGAAGAAACAGAGCAAGTGAATACACAACAAAAATAAAAAAAACCGAAGCAAGCACGCTGGGAGTCAAACGGTCACCGACGAAAATGGTAAAGGTCGAACTTTTACACTCAGATCTGCGCCGTTTTGGGAAGTTTTGTGGATTTTGGGTTTCAGATTAGTGTTGAGGGGGGAGAGGAGGATATTTTTTTTAGAGTTTTGGGTTTTTTCGGCCGTCGGTTGTGGCGGCACGGCAGGGTTGAGCCACCGGGCGGTGGTCGGATATCGCCCAGGAGAAAGAGCTTGAAAGCTGAGAGATGTTATTTTGGGATAAAGTTGGAAAATGAGGGATTTTGGAATTTTTTTGGGTTATATACAAACCCATGGATCGACCCGCGCGCGACCCGACCTGGGCCATTGGATCTGAGCATTTTTTAACTGTTAAGGGGGGAATCGTTTTATGGTCCCCATCTTTTATAATTTCTATTTCGACCCCCAGGTTCAATTTTAGCCCAATTTTCTCTTAAATTGTACTCTCAAGTTATTATTCTTTCAATTTGGTCATTTCGTGTTTTTTATTTTATTTATTTAAACATTATTTTTTTATTATTAGATATATATATATATATAAATGTTTTTCTCCTTTTAGCTCCATTTAATTTTAACACTAGCATTATATATATATATATATATATATATATTCTTTTTTATTTGTTTTTCATTTTTCATTTTTTTTTATATTTTTTATTATTATTTTTTCCTTATTTCCTTTAAATTTATTATTTTCATTTATTCGTTTATTTATTATTATTATTATTATTTTATTACTTTTATCTAACATTTCTATCTTTTTAAGGGTCTTCGTTTAAATCAATCAAAGGTAAATAATTCGAATCGGATTTTTTAAATTTTAATTTTTAATTTTTGCAATTAAAGATAACCGATAAATTAATTGGTACCGAAAGGGCGGTTCAAGGGTGATAATCCTTCCTTGACGTAACCAACTCCCGAACCCGACACGTTTTTGGTACAACGCAGATAAGGTAAAATGGTGTCCGACCCACCTAAATTCGTTTTAAAATGGTCGGTGGTGACTCCAACCCACTCATTCCAAGTCGAAGCCCAATTCCGGGCCCACCCGAAAGACGGTCGTGACAATTGTTATAAGACATTTTTATATATTATTTTTTAAATTAAATCCCTATTTGTTATTGAATAAAAGTAATATTTTTTGTAAATATATTATTTCGGGTTGGGTCGAACCAGATTCAAATTTTATCTCAAAAGAACACTATCAACCGTTTGACATTAAACGCTCATATTTATGATATTTCTGATGCTCGAATTCGATACATCAAAGAATAACAACGATTCTTTTATTACCAAAGTCGTTTGATCAATAAAAACTTAAATTTACATTGAAGATCGTTATAATACCTAATACAAAGCATTTAAAAAATAAAACATGAATTAAATATATAATTTTTAATATGAAATAAGTTTAAGTATTAAAAGAGGTTAAGCTTTTAATGATAAGTATTAAAATAAAACAAAAATTAAATATTAGATATAATTTAAAAATTAAAAGTTTAAATATTTAAATAGACAATAACTGATAATTTGAGTATTAATCGCGTTTACTCTAAAATCCCTCTCGTGTAAAAGTAATGGGTCGGCGGTCCATGGGTTGCCCCAAAAACCCGCTCTTCTGATATTTTGGTAAATTCCAGGGCACCTGATTGAAACTACCGAAAGTGCACAATTTCTGGGCATAATCCATCTGATCGAGCGGACGAGACAGGTACAGAAAAGAGAGAGAGATGGCATCTGGTTGGGGAATCAATGGGACCAAAGGTCGGTGCTACGATTTCTGGGTCGACTTCAGCGAGTGTATGTCCCGTTGCAGAGAGCCCAAGGACTGTGGCCTCCTCCGCGAAGACTATCTCGAGTGCCTCCACCATTCCAAAGAGGTCATTCTCTTCTTAAGTTTTATTTTCTTTCTTTCCATTTCGATTCCAGATTTTTGGTTCCCCAAACCCCTTTTTCATTGAATTCCATGCTTTGTTAAGTATTGATGTAGAGCTTACTGAATACCACGCCTTGTTGGTCGTCCTCAAACTCCTAACTCCGTTGGAATGAGCTCAATTAGTTTCTCAAGTTGTTTGCAAATGAGAACTGCTTCATCGATTTGTTCCTAAGTTCGATAACAGAATTGAGTGCTCAATTAGTTTCTCAATTAGTTTCTCAGTGCTGCTTATGAATTAGGCCTTAATATTAGTGCTTTGTTTTCGTCCTAGTTTGAGAATTCTTCTACCTTTAGGTGGCATTTGGTATGAGGTTAATTCTTTAAAATCAACGGTGATCTAATCACCGTGTTTGGTAGTAACTTTGGAATCTTATGTGACAGTAACTTTAGGTCACCAGGAGTGATTAGATTGCTCATTACTGTCTTGGGTTGATCCGAACTCCATCCAAACTTGTCGGAAAGTATCATATCAGAGCCACTGAGTTGTGATGATATTTGAAACCACTTATGTGATATCGACGAATTCTTATTTTGTTAACTGTTCGTTCAATACAATTTGAGTTTGTCACTTCAAAAGGATTCTACTCCAGGTACATCAATTGACTGATGTGGCACATGGTAGAATGATAAGCTAACCATATCTTAGCCGCAATACCATTAGTGGCCTTCAAGAAGGATACTCGAATTGATATTTGTATGTGTGTTGTTGTGAATTGATTAATACATGCTTTTCCACCCATTGTGTCCTAGAAACATAGACTGTAGTTCGAATGGTATATTAGAGCTACAGTGCCTGATATCTGGATCAATTATACCTTTGACATTGAGGAAGTTTTAGGGAATCTAATGAACTTCTTATTCCTACAGTTTTATGAGTTTATTGGAATAATAGCATCGATGTGTGTGGTTTTGCTTAAAAGGATGCCAATTTTCTGTGACATATGAAACACTGTCACAAGACGAAAATGATGTCAAGTGTGTGATTTATTGTGAAAAAGTCAATCACATTGTCTTGCAAATGGTGTTTTAGTGCTTTCGTAGGAGCAGCTAGTTTGAATGCATTATCATGAAGGAATCTTTAGAATTATTGGAGACAAAGTTATCCTTTTTGAGATCTCTATAACTTTTGTTGTCTCGGTCGCATAGAGAATTTCATATATTTGTGTTCTTTGTAATCTCTAGGTTTACAGTGGATTGTTGTTTATTTCATCCATGAAAGTAGACAGAGTTGAATCAGTTCAATCTTCTCTCGTGTGTGATCCATTACGCGTTGATCTCACGTTGTTTTCTTTTCCATTTGTAAATTTCTAATAAGTGGTATCATTAGCTATAGTTTAATTTATCATGTCTTTATCATTCTATCCCAAAAAAACATGTTAGATGTGTGAACTTAGGTCAATGGCAAAGAAATTTTCATATTACTTGGAATTATAAATTTAATTTAGATGGTTTGGTTTTATCCCATAATCCATGTGGATCCATTTCTTAAGTGACATTATTGTTACTAATCTTGATAATTATTACAGTTTCAACGAAGAAATCGGATTTATAAGGAGGAGCAACGTAAATTAAGAGCTGCTGCACGAAAAGACAAGGAAGGCGAAGACGGTGTTCATCGCCATGCATAGTGATACTTTGTGATCCTTTAATTTTCCAAGAATAATAATAAGAATAGTGCATGTCTGATTGTGGTATTTTTGTTGGGACTGGTCTTTTAACTCATTGCTAGACTACCTTTTTTTCCCCCTTTCCTTGGAATGGATTATTGTTGTTTTGCCTTTGACCAAGTACGATCGAATACCGGGAAAGACAGATTACATAAGTTTAAAACAACAGAGATTTATTAAATTATTTGATCTAAAAATTAGAGAAACTAAAGTTTAATTTTATTTAAATTTAATTTGATAATAGTCTAAAATATTATTAATCCAAAAATTTTGGAAGGAGCAAAATTCTCTTCCATTCTTCATGTACTAGGGATGGTAGAATGGCCGAACCCGATGGGGAAACCCGAAATTTGGTCAAGTTCGGGTCGGGTATCGGGGATTTTTTTGGGTCGGGTTAGGGACGGGGCAAGGTATCTCCTCCCCGTCTCGACCCGATTATATATATATATAATATTTTATATTTTTTATATTAATTATATATATAATATTTTCGGGTTCGGGTTTGAATATAATATTTTGGGTCGGTTTCGGGGACGGGCAAAAAAAATCTTCGACGGGTATCCCGATAAAAACCCGACGGTCGGGTCGGGGTCGGTGATTCATTTCGGGTTCGGGGCGAGCAAAATCCGCCCCAAACCCGCCAGTTTCCATTCTTATCATGTACCTTCCTTTCTGGATTTGGCCATGGCAGTTCAATCTTATATTAATCGAATTTGAGTTTTTTTAAAAATAATAATTTCTTTTATTTGTATAAATCATATAAAAATTATAAGGGTAAAGTACAACAATGATCATTTGATTATAGGGTATTACTTTGTTCTATCGATTATTAAAAGTTATAAAATAGTTATCTAATTATAATTTGTCGTTTTTTTGAGTCTCTCAACTATTAAAAGTTATAAAATGGTCACCTGATTGTTCATTATACCAAACTCATCATTTTCTGTTATAAAATTGTCAGTTATGTAAGTTGGCCGTTAACATGATGATTAAATAAAGATAGTCTTTTGAGATTTTATTATATCACAGTCACAGGTTAATATTCAACTCAGAATATCGTCAATTTTTTAAAAAAATGACGAGTTTATAACATAATATTAATAAAGTATCATTTTATAAATTTTAATAATTAAAAAAATTAATAAAATAATATTCTATAATTAGAAGATTATTTTGTCAGTTTTAGGATTGTAGGTACTTAACCTGTGTGCTTAAGGAGTTGTTTAAACAAGATGCTACGCCCACCGTCTCTCGTGGGACAGGTACGGGCAGCTGCCCTTGAAAGTTCGCTGAGGTCAACCTCAAAAACAGTGGTAAGAATAAAGAAAAGGAAATTCTCTACTTTTTTTTCTTGAGCTGTTCTATGAAATTCGCCCACCTGCTAACCACAAGTTTCACCTGCTCCACCGTCTCGAGGGCATCAACAGATTTCCCAATTTGAGAAATGACAGAGACGTCGTTCTCGGCACTCTCCGACGACGTTGTTCTGAGCATCTTCTTGAAGCTCGAAGATGACCCCAAGAGCTGGGCTTGTATCGCTTGCGTCTGCACCAAATTCTCCTCCCTGATTCGCAACACCTGCTTTAAACAAAGATGCTCCAAAACCATCCCCTCCGTCTGCGCCGATCTCTTCTTCTCATCGTCCATCCTGCCCGGCGGCTGGGCGTCTCTCCACAAGCTCTCTGTATGCTGCCCTGGCCTCCACCACGCCGGCGTCCTTCTCGAGCACTCCGATTTCGGCGACGCTGTACCCCAAGCCTCGAGGCCGTACACCGAGCTATATTCCAGCAAAGTGGAAAAGAAGCCCAATCCGGATCCCGAAGTTAACGTTCCCAGGTCCGATTCTTCATTGCACATTATCGATGATCAATGTTACGACACAGTGTCTAATGTGTCTGAGTCTATAGATGGTTATACTGTAGAAACAATCGACAACAAAGACATTAAACTCGGGCTTTCCGTTTGTAAGCGAAGGAAGATATCTAAACCGCTCAGATCCCATCTAGCATACGGCGTTTGGAACTTAAGCCGAGAACGAGGCAATAAGCTGTTAGCAAGCCGATTCCGAGGCGATTGCTTATACATTTGCGACTGGCCGGGGTGCATTCACTCGGAGGAGAAGCGAAATTACATGCTTTTCAGAGGGATTTTCAAGAACTTCAAGAAATCCCATGTGTGGAGGACTATAAACGATGGGAACAGAAACAAGACCGATCTGAACTGCGCCTTCTGCTCTTGCGAACAGACATGGGATTTGCGTTCTGCTTTCTGTTTGAGGCGGGTTTTCGGGTACCATGACGACGGGGAGCCTGTTGTTCGAGCATATGTTTGTGAGAACGGGCATGTTTCCGGTGCTTGGACTGATTTGCCTCTGTACGCTTAGGAGCGACAGTATATCGGATCAAGTAAGTTGTTTTCATTTCAATAAAAGAGGAATTTGCAAGTAGAATTTACCATTTAATAGTGTGTTTTCATTTACTGTTTGAAGTTCTTTTCTTTTCATGTTGGTGTTCTTGGTGGATAAGACTCTGGGTGATTGTCACATTGTATACTAGCATTGGATCATTAGATTATCCAGTGAAGTTGAATTTAAGTCTTTTAACTGTTAAATTTTCGGATTGAATGCTTATTTTTTTCTGCTACTAATCAATAATCTTATAATTTTACTGTAAATCAGAGTTAACCATTGCCTTTGGTCATGGTTCAGTCTTCTGTTTTCACGTTTGTGCAAGCATGGAATATTTCTCAGTTATAAAAAAAACCTATTTGAAGGATCTTAAAATTCTTGTTGCTATACGTACGGGTGATAGAACTTGTTCACAGTAACAAATGGATTATAGGTGGTTATAGGCGGTTCATTTCTTTTAATTTGGGTGGAGAGTTGTTGCCGGTGGTGGATCGATCGTTGACTGATGTAATTTTTTTTTTCGTTTGGTAAAGAAGAAAGATGAAGATAGGGACATTGGATCTCTCATTTTCTTGGTCTTTATCAAGAAATTTTATATTAATCTATAGTGTTGGTGTCAAATGCAGGACCATAATAGCTATTTGTAGGTTAACAAGATAGACATATTTTCTTTATGTTGTTATCTGTCAATTGATTCTGACAAATTGCGTGAGATCTGTTAGAGGTCTTTTCAAAGGATCGTGGCTTCCTTCCTTTGGGGCGTGAGGCTTCAGGTGCTTTATGTCCGGAGTCGTTCTTCGAAGGTCTTAATGTATGGATCGGAGGAGATTTGAAAGGGATATATAAAGGCAATGTAATAGGAATGCCAAATGTTTTTACGAACATGGACAAACCAATTCATAAGCATTTGCAACCAAACTTCAACTTATCTAGTTCTCTATGGCGGAAGCTCCTGACCTCTCCACTTATGACAGTTAAGTCATAGCAAAATCCAAGGTTTGATGATCAAACTTACTTAGCTGGTCAGTTTATAAATAGTTATGATAACCTTATGACTGACACACGATTACTATAGACATCCTCAATGAAGATTAGAAAAGGGGTTGAAATCCTTTTAAACGACGCTGCCTCTTTATCTTTCACCTATCATCGTCTTCTTTCTCATGAACCCTCTTTTTCTCCACAAAAATACTGGCTAACGACCGACAATCTTTCACCGAACACGACTTTTTGTCTAAAACAGAAGTGTTAAACCATAGCTGACGAGTCTAACTTATTTTGACCAACAACAACCAAACCTCTAAGTCCGCTACAGCGGAAGCTCCTTGACCAGTTGCCAGAATACAGGCTAGAAATATGCCCCCAACCTGTTGCTATTGCTACGGTTGGGAAATGAGATAAACGTTCTCTTTCGAAAGCGCTATAATTCTTTGGATACAGGCTTTCTGCTTCATGTAGGTTCTTCTGAGCTGATGAGGTTGATGGAGGATAGACATAGAAGTCACCAGTTTGATTCAAGTTGTGGGAGTAAGCAACGAAGTAGTTTTCTCATGATTTAAATAGTAATCACTGTTCTAGGTATGATTTAAGTATGCATAAGTAGTCGATATATAAACTCCAATGACACAAGAGATAGACTTCTTCGTTCACTCTTTCTCACGATTCTCCATCGTACCTTAATCGCTAATATCACTAGTCAATTATCGTACAACTATTAACTGTAACTCTTTACCCAAACCAGAAATGATGAACTGTGAAACGGTTGACGTACTTCAATTGTTCCCATCAACAATGTAGAAAAGATCTGGACCTAGTTGAAGCATTGGGTTCACCAGTAGAAGATCCCTGAGCTGCAGCTGGATTTGAAGCTGTATCAGTATTGGCAGTATGGGCGTATAGTTGAATGATACAGATAAATGGGAGAATGCCTCGCTCAACTCAACTATCATATCAGATACTAATGGAGGTTCGGATATTCCACTGGAGATTAAAATTGGCATCATCGACACTATCATTAGATACAGGGGATGGACTGAGGGGTGGGTAGGAGGCAGTCGCTCCCTCTTGAAAATATCACTGTAGATTTTAGATTTTTTTCTATATATTTTTATTAAAAATATGTTTTCGCCTCTTGAAATTTTATAAGTTCAAGTTTATCCTTAATATAAAATTTTGTGTATGTCCCTGAATATATATTAATGTTATGGCCTTGTGGGTGGAAGTGGTCTAGTTATGCAAAACATGAATCAGCAGCAGCATGTTCAGCAAATGTTAGCATGGTATATACGGAGAATAAATACTATTCTTTGTCACGTAGTTGTCTCTTCTTTGAGGCACCAAAGAAATGAACTATATTCTATATAATTTAATTTATATTTTCTTAAAACTGAATGAAATCTACTTGGATTGGAACAAGAAATTTATATGATAATCTTTACAATATTTTTAAGAGTAAATTATGTGTTTAATACTTAAACTATTAATATTGATCTGTTGTATTATCTAAACTTTCAATTTTTTAAAATTATATCTAAAATTTAATTTTTGTTTCATTTTAGTGCATCATAGTTAAAAATTTACCAACATTGTATTTCTTATGAGTAAATTACATCATTCATCACTCAATTATCTTCTCACTCCTATTTTGGTATTAAAGTTTAAAAATTTTCAATTTGACTACTCAATTTTTCAAATTGCTCATGTTTTAATCACTCTAATCGATTTTTTTAGTAATTTTTGTGACATGATATTTTTATTTATTATTTTATTAATATATAATTAAAAATGAAAGTTAGAGTGATTAAATTAGGAATAATTTAAAAGTTAAGTAATTAAATTAAAAAAATTAAACTTTATCGACCAAAATAGGAATGAGAAGATTGTTGAGTGATGAATGATGCAATTTACCCATAAAAAAGGTATCACGTGCAAATCATTCGTTAAGTTTTTAACGGTGAGATACTGAAATGAAACAAAAATTAAACGTTAGATATGATTTTGAAAAAATTGAAAGTTTAGGTACTAAAACATATCAAAATTGATAGTTTAGGTACTAAAAGCATAATTCACCCTTAAAAATATTGTCTCATAATAGATAGTTATAAAATTTGATATGAATCAATTTATTAATATTAAAAAAAAGTTTGCAAGTTAAACAATTCGTATAAGCTATAGGGATGTGCAAAAATATCTAATATGATTTGTCCGTTGATCCGATCCGATTTTTTGGGATAATTCGGATAGGATATTCGAATTTTTTTCTTCAAATAATCGGATCAGATACGGATCGGAAAACTCTTAATTTCGGATTTTCCGAATATCCGAAAAATAAATGGGTTTTAGCTCTAGGCCCAACAGCCCTATCTGAGCAGGGACTTGTGGAGGTTCAACCCCTCATATTAAAAACCTACCAACAAGTTTTTATAAATGGGGTTTGGGTGGCAGCAAGCCAGACCAAGCACAAGTACATTCTTTGTTTCTGCAACAATCTCTTTGTTTATTCGAGAATAGATAACGAAGCTCAACCTACTGGTTCTGTACTTCTCCCACCTCAATCCACAATGTTAATGTTGTAGTTGTTTGATTCACATTAGTATCCCTATTTTCTTCTGCACGCAACTTCAAAAAGTTACGAAATTGTAGGTTTGTCGATGCAATGTTCCCCATCATTAACTGCAGAAACACGTCATAGTATTTAAATTGGCATCATTTAATTGTCAATATATCTTTAAAGAGCAATTTAAATATGGTTTAGTCGATGACAGCATGAATATGGGTAGTAAATAAGTGACATTGTATATCTCAAAATTTAGACAAGTGACCAAAATGTAAATTTTAAAAATTTGGTGGCCAAAGTAAAAGAGTTAGAAAAGTTTAAGGACCAAAGAGATAATTTTCCCAATTTTATTCTATAAACATTATATCCTTAAGAATGAAGTTATTATGGAAATTAGATTTTGATCCGGAGTTTGTGTAAAAGTTATGAAGCGATAAAGTTTAGTAAAATATTCGGATAACCGCATCGAATCGAAAGTTTACAAAAATTTGAAGGATAATATTATAAAGTTAGCAAATACTATTTTGATATTTTTAAACAGTAGAATTTAATATGGAATTGTGGAATTAAGTGGATTTTCCATGTTAAAGTAGAATAGTGGAATTAAAGTGACTAAATTAAAATTTTAGAAAATTGAAAGGGCAAAGATGAAAATAAATAAATATGATTTTTATATTTATTTAATGATATAAAACGTTGATGAAAGGATGGCATGGAGGTAAATATCAAAATTCATTCATGGTAAAATGGTAAATTAACATTAAAGAAATTTTAAATTCATTTTAATTAGTTTAAATGACAAGTGTAGTAGATATTTTTGAAATAGATTTCAAGAGTTTCTTTCCTCCATCCTTATGGCCGTGAGCTTCCTCCTCTAGTTATGGAAATTTTATTCTTTTTCATTTTGAGCTATTTTTGTTAGGTTTTTGAATTAAAGTGTGAAATAGAAAATATTCTACATTGAATTCTCTTTCATTTAGTGTAAAAATCTCATGGTTTTCTTATTTGAAATGTTGAATTTTTTAATATGGCGGATGAAGAACAAGTTGGATTTTGGTGATTTAAAGGTTGAATTTGATGCAGTTGTTGTTGTAGAGTTGTTTTCGATCTTATGTTATGAATAAAAACCAATAGAAATGGTTATGAAGAGTTGATCACTTTAGTGTTTCATGAAGAATTATTGATCTTGATTGAATTTGATACAGAGTTGATTGGAATTTCATGGAATTGAAGTTAAGAGGTTGAATTCATGTTTATTAAAATGGAAAGTGTTGAACCATATTTTGATATAATAATTAAGGTAAAATATTTTTGGACTTGAATTGAATTTATTTAAAAGTTTTCAAAAATAATTCAAAGTACTTAAAAGTTTGGAATTGAGCACAAAACAATTTTCTATACAAGTAGTACGATACTGTTTCGACAGTATCAATACCAATTGAACAAGTATCGATACTGTTCATATGGTACCGATACCAAAGGTAAGGGAAGTATCGATACTCACTAGGTAGTACCGATACTACCAGCTTTGCTCAAATTACAGAATGCAAAAATGGTATCAATACCCAAAGGAGTACCGGTATTACTATGTATAGTAGTACCGATACCATTTCTATAGTGTCGATACCATCAGGCCCCAACGGCTAGTTGGATTTAAATATAACAAAGGTAGTACCGATACTCCCTTTAGGAGTACCAATACCCCTTGGTCTGGGTAACTTTATTTTTCATGAAAATTGATCCCTAACGGCTCCAAACAACCTCCAACACATAAATACAAGTTCAAGACACTTGAAGAGGGGTTAGAACACCTATCCAAGCAATCAAACACAAAGGAAAAAATTTTCATTCTTATTTTCAATTCTCTTGTAAATATTTGTATTTTTGTGAGCTTTTTAATTTGTAAACACCTTCATTTCTAGAGATTTATTTGTTTACACTCTTTTTCACTGTAAAGGGTTTTGGTTCTATCTTAGCCATTGAAAAAATAGGGAGTTGCAAATGTTATCTCTTTGTCCTTGAAAAAGAAAGAACAAATTAGTGAATTTGTTAGAAAATCATTGGTGATGAGCTAAGATAGTGGATGTAGACTTGGTTGATAAGTCGAACCACTTTAAATCCTTGTGCCAAATTATCTTATCTTTTTGTTCTCCTTACTCCCTAAATTCAATTTTATCTTTTAAA